CTTTATAATCATTAACAGTCACAAAAATTCCCTCCCTTTTGTCATCCTTAACAATATATTTCCAGTGTTCCATACATATTCTGTTTTTTCCTTCACATTTCATCTCTGACTTTTGCATGAACCCCTTTCCCGAAAATCTGATGAGCGAAAATGTGTCCCTTCCAGCAGGCCTGCTGAATGCCCCCCTGGTCCTAATCCCATTGCTTCATGAGACACCCCCTTCTGTCACTGTCATTGTGTCAGAAGGGTCACACTTTTGCCCTGGCCGGTTTGGCTCAGTGGATAGAGCGTCAGCCTGTTCAATCCGGTTCAAGTGTGTCTCTCTCACATTGATGTTTCTCTCTGTGTCTCCCCCTCCCTTCCACTCTCTCTGAAATGGAAAAATATCCTCGGGTGAGGATTAACAACAACAAAAAGTGTCACACTTTTGTGTGTCTACTTCCCATTGTTTTCATAAAGGCTAAGTGTGAAATGCAATAAAACAGTTGTCTGAAACTTTTTAGAAAGCCACCGACTCTTCTTTCTGAGAAGTGCAGCAGTCAACGTGGAAGTTGCGTGGGGGGCCCTGGACTTGCCACTCCCAACAAGCACCTGGGCTGTTCCACTCTCCACAGCCCCCATCCTCCTGCTGCCTGGAGGCCCTTCACGTGTCTGAGGGTCTGAGGCAGAGTTTGAAAATAGCCACTCATTGCCGTAAACTACCCAAATACCTACACAGACACTGCTCCAGGTGACAGGCCCAAAGCAAACTGGTGGCTGCCAGCTGCCAGCAGCGCCACCATGTCACAGCCCACATGGCTGTCCCTCACCAGACACCAAAATTTGGATGTGGCAAATAAAAGATGGCACAGGGGTGTCACCGCAGAAAGTACAAAGTGGAGGACTGCATGGGAAGGACACCTCAAAAAACGGGTGCATCAGAACCACCCCCTCTCTCCTCTGGCAGCCAGCGCCCCTGTGTATTACCTTCCCTCCCTTTCCCAGGAGAAGCTCAGAGGCCCAGTCCAACCCTCTACCACATAGAAGGCTTGACTGACCCAATTTTAAATCTTACCAGCACCTGATCTGAGACACTAAAATCCTCTGCCCAGGATGGGCTCTCCTTGGGTTTTGTTACGGTTTTAGGGTTGCTTTTGGTTTTTTAGGAAGGCAAAGGACTCTCTGAGGTGATGCAGTTGCCTAAAGGTGAATGGATGGGTGCCCTCTTGAGGTCTCTGCAAGTCAGGGCTTCCAAGTTGCCTGACGTGTGGTTCCCATCTGCCCAGGGCTGGACCCCTACAGTCACTGTACCAGGTCCCCAGGATCTGGGGACAGGTCAGCTCTGGTTAGAATGCAGGCCCGTGAGGGGAAAGGTGTTTCAAGGACTGTGGTCTAAGAAGAACAATGGTCTGCCTGGATCCATTAGCTGTTTGTTAGGTCGAAAGGGGGTCCAGGAGCTGATGCATGCCTCCACCAGGCAGATGGTGACATAGATACTGGGCCCTTCCTAGAATGCGTAACAGGCCAGTGCACCAGGTAAATGGTGACGCAGATACGGGTCCCGCCCTGGAATTCCTAACAGGTCAGCTACCAGACAGATGACGACACCTGGAAACCCGTGACGACCCCCGCGGCAGGAAATCCCACAGCTCATGCTCCCCTGCCCTCACTGAACAGCTGTATAAAAAAATGCCCCTACTCATGTGACTCCACTGGCCTAACCCCAGGACCTGTGGACCTCGCCCGAGAGCGCAGAATAAATTCTCCTCCTTCAATCTGCCTGACGCTCCGACTCAGTTTCCTGCGTCGCGAACCTCACACTGTCCATTCCTTTGCTCAACTGACATCCACTGATGCTGCTCTGAAGGCTGGCTGGGTGCCTGGGGGCAGGATCCAGGAGCGAGGCCCTGCCTCTCGGAGCCCAGGGAGCCACCCCGTGGATGCGCACTCTTCCTCTTGTCTTGTGAGTAGCAACTC